GCATATTTTCTAAGGAAGAGACTAAGTGAGATATCTATCTATCTCGGCATTCTCAATTTTTTTCTTTAACTTTTTGAGAGAGAAAGTGATTGGTAGATACTTCGCTGGATTCTAGTAGTTCAAAACTTACTTAACATAAAGGTTCGTTGACGAATTTTTTTTCCGTTTAAAATAAAGCCTTGCGTTTGTTATGCAAAGCTATATACACTTTACTCAGTAGGTGAACAAATGTATGCAAACTTAGATGAAAAACGTGAAAGTCTTAGAAACATAAAACACAAACCAAAGAGTGCTCTAAGGTTAACACAAATCCAGAAAAAAAAATTGCGCTTGAAGAAATTTTCATGGATTATTCCTTTCCTTGAAACATTGTTCTCATAGTTTGGGAATTTGTTTCCTTAAAATGACCCTACTTTTTTTATTTTACTAAATCAACACTGATTTTCCAAATTCATTTGCCCACCTGGATTGAAGAATCACAACGGGCTGGGGCGGAATTAATGATTTGGATAACGAAAGAGAGCATCTCTATTCTAATAGTGATGTGTCTAACGACTGGTAGGTGCTGCCCTCATGCTACACGGGTGTTTCAAATTATTGTCAGATTCAAATGAAACTTTTCTGCCACCCCAGAATGTCGCCAAGTTTCCCGGCTCGTTGGTTAGCATAATAATAATAATATTAATAATAATAATAATAATAATAATAATAATAATAGTAATAATTATAGCTAGGATTTAATTGAAAACTTAGGCAAACTATATATCCCTGGAAAGCTTATTACTTGAAGTTCATGAAAAAAAATATTTTACACTTCACATGTCAATTGTAATAGGATACCACTCATTTTTATTGTGCCACCTGCTGGGTTCTTCCAAGGGTTACTTAAGAAAAGATAACTCCTTCTGGAGTTGATAAAAAAAAATTGTTTTTAGTGTCAATTCAAAGAATACATGTTGCTTATTGTTATAAGTAGATGGATTTTTGATATGTTGAAAACATTTCAAATAGTGATCGATCAAATTTGACATAGGAAATCGAAGTTGTGTTTCACTTCATAACTTTGTTTACATAAATCATGTGGAAAATTGCTCTGCTCATAACACAAAACTTATCAAGAGGAACAAATGCTGAAAATTTCAGATCATTCGGATGAATTGTTCTCAAGATATCTTTTCTTGAAGACAAAATTATTGCGTAATGAGAAAATAGCCTTTAAACTTACAAGTAGCAATCACACTTAGTTGTTTAAATTATGCAACCATTCTAGTGGCCCAGGTGTCCATATTTTGTCTGCAGGAGTGTCTAAAAGTAATTCAAATGCCTCCTGGCTCATATGTTACTCCTTCTGTTTCTTGAAGGGCTTCCTACTGATGAGTCCTCAGAAGTTGCTCCATTTGATGCTCTCTCTTTTCCTTCTACGTAGCCTGTCAATCAGACTTCATCAATCATTTACTGTCTTTTGCATGTGCTGCCTGTCTGGTGCATACACCACTAAGGAAAGATAGCCTTTCCATAAATTTTTAGCCTACTACTGTCTTCCATGCTACAGCATGGAAAAGAACTCGGTCGTTAATGTCATATTATTTCCCTCTCTGGGTCACAGGAATAACGGTATAAGGCGGTTTCGCCCCGTAGAAATAACGCCGCCGAGTACAAGTTCACCTATCGAACGTAACAAGTTCGTCTGCAGCTTCCAACTCGTATCCTTGCAAAACGATTTGAAGATTTAGGGCAAACTAGAGGACGATGAACTTGAAATGGGGCAAAATCTCCCAAAAACGGAATAACGGATAAGCCATGTGTTTGGGGCAAAGCTAGTGGTTTCTGAAGGCGGATGTGAGACATGGCAAGGACACAGTAGTGAAGCGTCACTTTTCCAGTCTCAACATCCTAACTTTAGTGTGTATATCATCCTTACTGTTCTCTATACATCTCCTATGGTACTGACAAGGAAAATTTCTTTAACCATCAATAGCTTCACTAGTTGATGTTTATTTCTTTTATTTTCGTAACCTCGATGTTTGATTCAGTAGTGATAATGTAAGGAAAAATTAGAAGCTGGTCACTGAGATAATAATAATCTTTAGACAGGGTGCGTTCTCACAGAAGTGGTTTTCAGAACGGCCCTGTAACTACCCACCCAACCCACCCCAGGGAGGACATCCATCGCACAGTAATCTCGTGCGTGGGAAATTAACGTCTCCTACCCCAACCCTGCAGGAGACGGGACCTCCATTTATTCGTCCCTATCCGAGAAGACTAGAATATCTAACCATTTCTTGATGTTAAAGAAAGGAAGCATATTCTTCTCAATTAATTTTAAGACCCTGAGTGTTGGTCCGGCCGGTATTGAACTCTCGACCTCCCGCACAGCAGTCCGGCGCTCACCCAGTTGAGCTAACCAGGCGGCTGTTTGGGACTGAGGGGTTAAAAACGGTTAATAGAGCCTCAGAGCCTACAGCGAAGAACTGGGAATATTTTTTATCTCTTAAACAATTGCTAAGGTCATCAAGGGCCTTTTTGCATTGGAGGAGGCAGTGTGGCCGAGTGGTTAGAGTGTCGGACTTGTAATCCGCCGCTCCCGGGTTCGAATCCCACCCTGACCGCTGGATCTGTTTCACGGTAGCCCCGAGTTCAGATCCTTGGCCACGCTTGTAAATAGCCAACTGGTTTGACTCCGGCCGGTTGGAGTTCTTAATGATGTTCTTAATGATGTTATGTTCAATTTAGACCATTTGTTTCATTTGTTTGCAAGGACCACAATGGAAACTACTGGTTCACCAGTAATTGTGTAATCCTATAAAAAGACTTTTTTTTTTTTTTTTTTTTTTTTTT